TTTTCCTGCTTTTTTTGATTAGTGCTTCATTGGCCACCTGTTCTAGCAAATGTGACCCCTGAAACCTGCCAAAGTCCATCGCGGGCGCTGTCTTTAAAAGACGCGTGAACAACATAACAACAACGCTAGAAGGTTAGTTATGCATTTAGACACATTGCCAATGAGTACGGCACCACCTATGGAAAGGAACAGTTTTAATAAAGCTTTATACTGACTTGATTCACTGGTTGGAAATCAAGGGAAGTTCCCAGTATACTTGTTGTGGCTATTGTATTTACAATGGATTTTCACAATTCTGCACGGAAGTGTGGGTGTAGTTAAGGTTTAAGCGATGGACCAAGGAATAGTAAATGTGCCCCAAGTCGGTGACCAGAACGTCCAAGAAACATTCGCGGAGCAGGAGAGATGTTGTAAGGCGTATTGGCGACTTCGCGAAAAGAGTTCTACCAGGAATGGAGCGTTCTGGAGAAATAGCCAAGCTGCCTGTGGAGCTAACTGATGGCAAGTATAAATAATGTACTGTATTACTGGTGCGTCAATCCCACACCTTTTCATTTCAGCCGTGTTTTACCCTGCTGCATCAGAAGATGGTGTCCGATTCTGTGTGGTCTGCGGGAAGCACGGCAAATTTCGGCTTGACAGGCATCTAAGCGAAACGCATAGGGTTCCGAAGAGGAGTGAACTCTATGAGGTAAAGCATCTTTCGTGCATAGAAGTATTTAAATACACATGTTTGAGGCCTACCAGCAAGTGGGAAGAGGAATAGTCAATAGAATGACTAGTGGCATCAGTCGGATGTAGCCAGAGTTCCTCTACCACACGAAAGAGAAGAGTGGCTAATCTATGGCGCCTTCGTTACGTGAGTGTGGCATTCCAATACTGAATGACGTAAGTAGTAAATATAAGTTGTTTGATACCTTTTTCTCATCACCTACAACCTTACACAGCATCTCGTTCAACAACCACCCGCACAACAGCGACCACCACATTCGTCGACCACGACAACACGAAGGCCGTCTAGAGGGGTTGCAGAAGCAGCAGCGATTGTCGACGAAGTAGAAGAAGCAGCAGCTGCAGCTGCAGAAGAAGTGGTTGTAGAAGCGGAAAACCACGTGGACAGAAGAGAAGCCGGAGAGGGAAGGGCCATGGAAGAGGTGAGTTGAGCAGCACCACATCATTAGTGACATGTCAATGGCAAAATTTGTTCCAGGATCACCGACCAGCGACACGTCAAGGACCATCGATTCCAAGAGAGCAGCTGTGCTTGACGGTTACTGTAGCTGAGGATAGGCTTTATCGAGGTCAGGCACTAAAGCATTGGCATAAGTGATAGGAAACGAAGTGTAAAATTTAGGTGGTCCAAAACCCCATCCAGCGTTCTTGGAGGCACCTTACAAGACGCTCATGTTTGCTCACGAAATGGACGTATGGAGAGAGGAAGAAGATTACTATGTGCAGACGTTCACGATTCCACCAAACCAACGTAGGTCCTAGTGAGTAGAATTGAGCCGGACTTCAATGAGCATTCGAGTTTCCCTTATTAAGGATGGATGCACGGTGCTGATGCTGAATTGAAGTTATGGAGGAAACTGGTCAAAGAACAGCATCCAGATATTGAAGGATTTTGCGGAACTCAATGTTACCACAACGGTGCAGGAAACACACTGAAGTGAAAATTTTTTATGTTGACAGTT